ATAGATGCAGGCGGAACGTCAGGAGAGAATGCCTCTGGACCATGGCCATATAGCCTGAAAAAACCTACAACATAGTCATATACATAGTCATATACATACAATCATATACATAGTCAAAAAATACATTAAAACTTTAAAAACAATTCATTAAAACAATAGATTAGTCATGCCAGTTAAAACCAAATCCAAGTCTGGAGTCAATTCAGTGTCGCAGTATCCAAGTCTTCTTTCCAATTGCCGCTGTCCACTAATCAAATACCTGGTCCCACAGCCAAATTTTCAACTTTCTTCTAAAGGACAGGAGGGAGGTGGCCAACCTGATGTCCCTGGGGAGAGAGTTCCACAGACGGGGGGCCACTGCCGAGAAGGCCCTGTCTCTCATCCCCAGCAACTGTGTCATGGGATCGCAAACACAGATCTTAGACTTTGTGATGTCTAAGATCAGCATGCTGGAAGAAGCAAACACCACCAGCATTGAAATGATGGGTCCTCCGCCATCAACTCCACTGGACTGGCCACGTTGTCCAAATGCCCGATCACCATCTCCCAAAGCAGTTGCTCTACTCCCAACTCAAGAATGTTTGTGGACAGGAAAAGAGATTCAAAGATGGGCTCAAAGCCACATTAAAAAACTGTGGCATAGACAGCGAGAACTGGGAAGCCCTGGCCCTTGAGCGCTCGAACTGGAGGTCAGCTGTGACCAGCAGTGCTGCAGAATTCGAAGAGGCACGAATGGAGGGTGAAAGAGAGAAACGTGCCAAGAGGAAGCTGCATCTAGCCAACCCTAACCGGGACCGCCTTCCACTGGAATGCCTTCACTGCAGGAGAAGATGCAGGTCAAAAATAGGACTCCACATTCACCTATGTACCCACCACCAGGACACCAAACTTGGAGGGCCGTCATCCTCGGAATCGCCTAAGTAAGTAAGTAAGTAAGTATTATTTCCTGTTTAATTGTGTCCTTACTTTGAAAGGAGTTGTTCAACTCCGAAAACTTTGTTTTTGTGATCAGAAACTATGTTGAATTGGTTGAGACTGTGAGTTGGTCATTGAGAAACTAGAGCTAAAGGTCCTTCAGGATGATGTCCTTCCCGCAAATACAATGTTTTTGCAGTTTCATAAACTTTTTCCATGCTAACCCAGATTATCTGCTTTGAACTGGATTATATGTGTCTGCACTGCCCTATAATCCAATTCAAAGCATATAATCTGGATGTTATATGGTAGTGGAGATGGGGCCTATGATAACAAGCCATAAAATTGCCAGGATTAGCTAGAAAATTCCTAATGGGAACGTATTTTGTTGGGCGCAGATAGTTGAAACCAGACCCAGGCTGCATCTACATTGTCCTATATCCTAGGAAATGATCCTTGTCTATCTGATTTGGATTATGAGTCTACACTGCCAGATAATCTGGGATTAGCAGATAATCTGGGGCCAGATCCTGGAATATAGGCAGAAAGAGGAAAGAAAAAAGGGAAAGAAAGAAGAAAAAAGAGGAAAAGAAGAAGGATGAAAAAGAGAGGAAAGGAAAGGCGGGGGAAAGGGGAAGGGAAAGAAAAGAAGGGAGAGAAGGAAAAAGAGGGAAAGGAGGAAGGAAAGAGGGAGGGAAGGAAGGGGGAAGATGTAGAGAAAGAAGGAGGGAAGGAAAGAAATGCTTGCATGTCAGATATTGTGTCGTAACTACGAATGTAACTAATTTGATCCAACTTATGAGGACTAATGAAAAGAAATGAAAAAAAAAAAGAGGGGGAAGAAAAAAGAAGAAAGGAAAAAAAAAAAAAGTAAAAAAAAAAAAAAAAAAAAAAAAAAAAAAAAAAAAGAGAAAAAAAAAAAAAAAAAAAAAAAAAAAAAAAAAAAAAATAAAAAAAAAAAAAAAAAAGGAAAAAGGAAAAAAAAAAAAAAAAAAAAAAAAAAAAAAAAGGAAAGGAAAAAAAAAAGAAAAAAGAAAAAGGGAAAAAAAAAGGAAAGGAAAAGGAAAAGAAGGAAAGAAAAATAAAAGAAAAAAAAAAAAAAAAACAGAATTTAATAAAAAAGGAAAAAAAAAAAAGAAAAAATAAAAAAAAAAAAAGAAAAGAAGAAAAAAAGAAAAAAGGACAAAAAAAAACGACAAAAAAGAGACTAAACTAAAAAAAAAACAAAAAAAAACAAAAAAAAAAAAAAAAAAAAAAAAAAAAAAAAAAAAAAAAAAAAAAAAAAAAAAAAAAAAAAAAAAAAAAAAAAGAAAAAAAGGAAAAAAGGGAAAAAATGACTAATGAAAAATGGCACACTCCTTGTCAAAAAGTTCTGACGGACTTTGTTTCCTATAGGAACTGGCCGACCTGAAGCACGTGCATGCCAAGCTGAAGAAGCAATGCCAGGAGAAGATGGCAGAGCTGGCGCATGCCAACCGGAGGGTGGAGCAGCATGAGGCCGAAGTGAAGAAGCTGCGCCTTCGTGTCGAAGAGCTCAAGAAAGAATTGGCCCAAGCCGAGGACGAGGTGGGTCTTCTCCTCCTTCCCCATCGCCGAAGTGGAAGAAAAAGCTGCGCCTTCGGTGTCGAAGAGCACAAAAAAAAAGAAAGAAAGAAAGAAAAAGAAAAAAAAGAAGAAAAAAGAAGAAAAAGAAGAAAAAGAAAAAGAAAAAGAAGAAGGTTTGGCCCCCTCCCCAACAGCGAGGGAGACGAGTAGTGGCATTTCCATTCACATGTGATTTCCAACATCCCATTGGCAATAAATAATAGAATCATAGAATCAAAGAGTTGGAAGAGACCTCATGGGCCATCCAGTCCAACCCCATTCTGCCAAGAAGAAGGAATATTGCATTCAAATCACCCCTGACAGATGGCCATCCAGCCTCTGTTTAAAAGCTTCCAAAGAAGGAGCCTCCACCACACTCCGGGGCAGAGAGTTCCACTGCTGAACAGCTCTCACAGTCAGGAAGTTCTTCCTCATGTTCAGATGTAATCTCCTTTCTTGTAGTTTGAAGCCACTGTTTCACATCCTAGTCTCCAGAGCAGCAGAAAACAAGCTTGCTCTCTCCTCCCTATGACTTCCTCTCACATATTTATACATGGCTATCATGTCTCCTCTCAGCCTTCTCTTCTTTAGGCTAAACATGCCCAGCTCTTTAAGCTGCTCATATGGC